AGCATGCTCATCGGCTGCCTTTATTCCCAAACTATCTGGTACGCATTCTTCTTAAGCAGTTTCGGCTTCAAAACACCTCCAGATTAAAACCCAGGCTCTTCGGTGGTTGACCACGGTATAATAGGAGTTTATATAATCACTGTATTTTATAATACCATAGAATTCTATTCTTTTATACTTAGAATAAGACATAATTACAATTATTATAAAGTTCCGATTTCTGAGCACCGAGTTTTGTTACTAACCTGCTTTGTGAAAAACATCGGCTACTGATATTTTATTATTTCAACTCTGGATATTCAGATTCGTGTAGAAGCTAGCATGTTACAGTAAACACTGTATTTTTTTCGTTTTCTATGAGATTCTATTACGCTATGACAAGCTTTCTGGTAATAAAAATTTTTAATTTAATTTGCGGTCAAGGAAATATAATATTTATTCTCTTGGTCGAATTTTTATCCTTTTTGTAAAAAGCATGAACGCATTTCTAAGGAATCAATTAATTTATTTTCATAACTTCTAATTGTAACCATGGCGGAAACTTATTTTGATGTAAAAAAACGAATCGACATTTTTTCAGATGAGAACTGTAAGAAATTGACATTTTTCTCTTGAGTACATTACATCTCTCTTGAGAAAATTAGAAGTATCGGTTGCAAATCAAGACTTTTTAAAGATATCGTATAAAAAAATATTTATTTGCGTACTTCTTTCTGTTTGCAGCTCAATGTGGAGATGGAAAAGGACAAGTACCTTGCAGACCTGGAATGTGGATCAATCCTGCCATCATGGCAATTTATCTCTTGATTGCAAACATTCTATTAGTCAACTTACTCATTGCAGTATTCAAGTGAGTAATCTCTCTCTCTCTCTCTCTCTCTATATATATATATATATATATACATCTTAGTGTTCACACATATAACTTTAAAGGTTATTTTATTTAATTTTATTTCCAAAAATAAATTTTCACATTAAAAATTATTTATTAGTTTTTTATTATAATTCAGTTAACTATTTATGGAGTGGGTGTAAGTACTTACCATAATATCCAATAGGATTACACCTACTCATAATTTTAAACTCCTACTCACTTTCGTCTGAATACACTAAACTATATTTCTGTTTTTGAGGAACCTTGCATTCATAGGACTAACCCCCATACATTCCAGAGCAGTTCATTCTTAAGTGCATATGTTGCCCATTCATCAATGTCGAATGCGAATTGTTCACTTCCTTGAATAACCACACCTGGCTCTCAAGTGAATCGTTTCTTATCTACTTTTTCCATCGCTGCATTCTAAAACAACAATACCTGCTTACTAGTAAATTCACATTCAGTTTGATTACTTTTGAGAAATGGACGCTGTAACTGAGAAGAATCTTTTTATGGCAAATTTTGAGAAAATAAATTATTATTAGACTGTGTTGATATCTAATGCTATGGCGGCTATTGATTTGCGAAGAGTAAAAACATTCAACACACGCAATGAGAGAATATATGTGTTATTTAGCTTTTATCTTAAGCTTCAATTGTACATTTTATTTTGCACTTATGTTATTTTAAAAATATTTGGTGTACTACTTTAACTAGTTTTCATTTAATGTATTTCGTTGCTATAGAGACCATTGGTTTTAAATTTTTACCAAAAACATTAAACATTCCAGCAACATCCCATTGCGTGTTATAGAATGTCAAAAAGGTTGAAGCTTCACAATTTTTAGACAAACACCAAAATAGCGGCAATGCGTTCAGCACTGCGTATCGACCACCTTTACTTCACAACCAAACTTGTACCCATCGTTTTGAAGCTGTGTAGACTTTTAATTGCTGCCGGAGATTGAACCCAGACTTTGATAATGACAGCTTAGTGCTTTAACCAGTCTACTATCGGTTTTCAAATTTTTACTAAAGTTGATATTTTAATTTTTTTCTCAAAACCACTAAATAAGTACATGAATAAGTGAGTCAGTTCATTTCGCAACACCGAATAAAAATAACGATAGATAAAATTAATTTATAAATAAAATTAATTTATAAATGAAATAAATTAATATATAAAATTATGTAAGATCAGTATAGTGTAGTGAAGAAGTAGAACCCACATATTTGCCCTAAGTATAGATAAACTCCTTGAGAAGGCTTTCATTTAAAGAATCAATTTCTTAAAAAGTGAATTTCTTATAAAGAAAATAATAATTTCCTTTCTGTTTTGAAAAGTTTAAATAATTTTTCCTACGTTACTTGTATCATTAAAATAAATAAAAGTGTATGGAAGAAATCAATTTTTTAAAACTTAATTCTGAAATAGATCATTAATATTATTTTTTCCAGCATTTAGTTTAGAGTAACCAACTTTTAGAAACATTTTCAACAATACTTAATATTGAAGCTTTTTCAACAATAAACTAATAGAGTTATATAAAATATTTTATGCGTTATATTAATTAAACAATGGTTCACATTGTTGCAAAAGATGCATCTGTTAAAAAAGTGTTTTTACTCATTCTTGTTTGAGATTTCTCAAATGCTGGTTGTTTATTGTGAAATTAAAAAGTGAGAATTATGGATAAAAGCGATTTATATCGTTTTGCTCTTTTGAATCATTGGAGAAAGGAAAGGGAAAAGTATCCCCGACCTAATCGTAAGTATAAAAACATACTTCTCAATATTTTTTTTAAAATTTTAATTATTTATTCATATGGACCTAGAATATTTTTAAAAAGATATGAAACTTCCTTACAGTGATCAAAATTTTTCCCTGAAACCTACATTTAATGAAGATTGAGAAAATTTCGTAAGCATTAAAAAAAATTGACAAAAAATGTTTGAGCATATTTTATAAATCATACTTTTGTCTTAAATTGAAAAAACAACTTTATGGATAATTAAATAAAACTTCTCTTTTTAAAATGGGTGATCCAATTTAACTTTTGGTGCACCACTGTATTAAATAAAAAATAAAGAAATGTTCAAATAGAAATTCGGAGGGAAAAATAACTCAGAGTATAAAATTGGGTACCGCTTGTGGATTGGGCACTCCAATCTGAAGCTTATACTGAATGTTAAATCTGCCATTTTCCAGTCATTTCTATTCACAATTCCTAACTTCTATTTTGCTCTATTTCTCGAAAACTAAAAAAATCTCAATTTAAAACAGTTTTCCCTGTTTTCCGTATACGAACATAAGAAAAGAAAAACCAACTTCAGAAAAAAAAAAACACGAAAAGTGTCACCCAATTGTACATTTTTATTGAGAAATATAAACATGATATAGATTTTATGCTCTTTTATATCTGATTCACACATTTAAAAAAGTCAAATAAAATATTACTCTAGAATGTTATTTACCCATTTGAGTGTTATTAATTCACAAAATACCTATCCGTATGAGTTAAAAAACTATGAAATATTGTCTGTTATTTCAAGGTAATGCCGAATGGAGTATTTGCACACACCTTAATACAAGTAGTTAAATGTGAAGTACAATAAATAATTAAGCTTACATCAAGCTGAGATGCTTTTAAACCATTTGTAAAACATTTTCGCCAAACTTGGCATACATTTGGAAACCGTCAAGCGAAAGATATATTTTTGTAAGCAATCGAAAAGAAAATGCAAAAGTTTTATTTCGATATTGTACTGCTGAATGAGATGCTTCAAATTATTACCAGATGCATTAAATTATTTTTGCATCTAAGAATACTGACATTGGCGCATTTTGATATCGCCAGTAAGTGTTGGTGAGAGTTTGTTGCGTTCTTCCAATACCTCCTAGAAGATAGAAAACCTCTGCATGGGTTATCATAAACAAGAAATGTAATCCTTTAATAGTCCAAACGTAATGGCATCCTTCGTATTAAACATCACTCTCCAGCTTAGTAACCCGAACTTGGCGAACAAAGGCGTATCCTTTGGCCAAGAACTCGAACATAGAGAAAACGTACTTACTCTTGGATTCCCAAAAATCACCAATACTGTTGCCAATGCTGCTTCATTAATTTTAGTAATATGAGCTACTTACAGTGTGGTAATGGGATCTAAATCTACTTATATTAGTGCTTAGTATAATAAGCTTCTTAAGACTTTTCTAAAGGGATAAAGGATAAAATTGCTTTAATGTGGTAAATTTTGACAATGATGAGTGAGTCTTTCGGCAACTGCACAATGTCAAATGACACTGAATATAGTTAATATTTATATTGAATTTTTAAAAGCTGGTTCTGCTTTTTATAATAACGCTAAGTCACCGGGAAGCTCCAAGAGTAAATATATATTAAAATTAATAAAATAAAAATTAAAGAAAAAATAAAATTATTTAATCTTCAATAAATGTGTCGGTATATGGTATTCACTTCTGCGCATGGTTAAGCAGTGTTGATTAATACCGTTTATTGATTATTTACATTTTTACAGTGTACGAAGAACAACCATACCGCTATTTTTTTTAAAATAAACCGGAGGTTTCCAAAAATACATACTTTTTTTTAAAGAAGATTTTCTACCTTTTTTTTTGTGAATTTCATTATGAGTTGCAAAAGATTATAAGTGTGGTAATTTGTAGAAATTTCTTTTATTATTGAACAAAATGAACACTTTAGAGATTATTTTAAAACTAGTCTTTATTCAAATTTTCAAATTTAATTTTAATTAATATTTCAGCATATGAGGATGGTAGCGAATTCGAAGATGAATTCGATGATATTGATTTTGATGAGAATGATTTGTAAGTAGTTATATCCCTAAAGTTTTATGCCTTTTATCATAATTTTCTTTCTTTCTTTTCAATAAAAAGGCACCTTTTTGAGTACTTGAAAAATTTACACAGAAAGCAAAAACGCAATTAGAAACAACGAAACATTTAACCCTTTGCGGCCGTATTAAGTTTATACGTGGGAGTCATGCTGGTCGGAATTAATTTTTGTTGAACTAACAGTAATACATAATACTCAAATTTATGAAGGAAAAGTAAAATTTATTATTATTTTTTAATCTTTAGCTATATGTAACACAATAATATGTTTTAATTTTAATTAAATTTTATTTTATAGTTCTCGTGTTGTATCTTTCAAAGCAATCTTCAATATGAAACCCAGGTTTTCGAGAACAGGCGTCACAAAAATGATTAGTTTGGCGTTTTCGGCCTATAATTTTTCTGTTTGAACATACAGAACAATCTTTACATCTTCAAAGTGCCACAATATATGTAGTTTGCCTTTACGATTGGCTGACATCTTTGCTGTGGTGGCAGAGCTCAGACATATGAGTGAAATGGTAAAAAAGCGTTGGTGGCTGAGAGTAGACATACGATCGCAAAAGGTTGAAACAGTGGTCTTACTGTTTATTTTGGTCACAAAACACTACTGCCGGTAAAAATCGACTAAGATATGATATAAACATAAAAATAATGAACAGTCTTTTTCAATAATGCTCACCCAATAATAAACTAACAATCGAAAACATATTAAAATCAAAATTTCTTAAGATACACGGTTTTATTTTCTACACTCTAAACCTAAAGAAACTCCGGAAGTCACGAGCGATTAATTCTCACTTGGGCCGGATCACGCTATTGGTCGAAAATGACATCACTGTTTGGGGAAGGGACTTGCTGTGTATTGCATAGTATTTTAGCGACCGATCTTGACTTGGCGACAGATTTTATATTTAGTTTTCAAATGAGTTCTATTTACACGTGGTATTAATGTTGAGTAATAAAGACAATATTCACATTTTGCACAGTTTTGTGGTAATTTTTTATTAGAATCTAAGTAAGTGAAATTAAACTATACTGCTTTTACGTCATTGGCAACTGGGGCTGTTCTAGAAATGCAGGGGGGGGGGCTAGCCAGAATTTTGGTCATTACTTTAAACTAAATCTACGTGCTGCTTGATCATGAAGTTTTTAAAATTATTCATGACACAACTAAATTACGATGTATGAGTAAATTTGAGCTTATGTTTATTTCGATTTTTGTTACTTCATAACTGCGAAAGATAATTCTTAAGGAAAAACAAAAAAAAAAAAAAAAACGTATTTGTAATATTACTATACCATCTTATATTTGTAAAAACATTCATTATTTTTATTGTTTTTAGCTTTGATGAATTTAAATCAATTAAAACATAAATATTGTCTGAAATGCTGAAGTGGACATTTACCTATCTCCCCCACCCTAACGACGACATAATATTACGTAAACATTTGCAAGGAATAAATAAATTCCGAGCGAGCACGTGTGCATACGAAATTTGTCGCCAAACTCATACAAACACCAGCCAACAGCCACCATCTCCCTTCCCCCAAACAGTGATGTCATTTTCGACCAATAGCGTGATCCGGCCCAAGTGAGAATTAATCGCTGGTCGGAAGTCACCTTCAAAGAACAAAAAAATCACGCATTTTTTAAATAAAAGTCTACTACCTTCAGACAGATTTGAAAGAATATATTCCTTTTGTAACTTTAGTGATGAAGAGTATATGGTGGAGTTAAGAGCTGAATTGCCATCATCTGATGATGATGAAGTTAATGATGATGATGTTGGGGATCATGATGATGAGGGTGATGATATTGGTTATGAGGTTAAGGATGAGTTTAATGATGATGAGGGAGATGGAGTTGAGGAGCTGATTAGGTATGTTAATTAGAATGCTTCTTAATGGCAGTTTAATATTTTAGTTAAAATGATCTTCAGTGTTGGAGTTAGTTTTCATCCTTTTTCAGGTGACATTTTCATAACTATTTTAAAATAAAATATTACCATAAAATTGTAAGCGACTACACATCGGTCTTTAAGTTTTATTAATCCCTATGAATCAATGGTACAAATGATGTAAAATGAATTTACTGAGCATGAACAGAATTAATGCGAGCAATTATTTAAAAGATTAAAGTCTTTGCATTGACAAAAAAAATTTTTTTTTCAAAGGGCATTAACTTTACAAGAGTTTACTTAATAAAATAAAATAATTGAACATGCAAACGCTGAAGGAAGGACAATGTTACTCGAATAAACTAATTTTCTAAAAAGGATTTAATAATTCGTAAATAAGTACATTTTTATTCAGTAGTATAAAGTGTAAGCGATCTAAACAATTTTATACAAGAAAAAACATTTATTTTGAAAAACTAAAATAATAAAATAAATTACAACTGAGCATATTTCTTTCAGATTTTATTTCATTATTTTATATTTTTTATGATATTTTCTTTCTAACCATGAGTTATTTTTCCAAAGTCTTTTAACGGATTTTCGAAAAAAAAAAACAATATAAATTGAATAAAAAACGAAATCTCCGTTTTATAAGTTTTGAATAAAAGATGAATGAGGTAAATAACTAAATAGTAAACATAAATTTTTTCACTGAAAATTTTTTTTAAATAGTAAACTACGATTTTGAAATTTACTTATAAATGCTACTGTAATAATCACCCCTACGAATATCAATAATGGCCATTTTCTTTTTTAATAAATAATTAACGCAAATTATGAAATAAATAATTACACATCGTAGCATTTTTAAAACATCTATGATTGTTGATAAGTTAATAAATTCTCTCTCTTTACAAATATATCTCATCTTTAACGAAAAATTTATGGAGCAAAATAACTTTATTGAATTTTAAGTTATACATTTTTTCTCTTTTCTTTTTTTTAACTTTTAGTGAGGAATTGTTCCTATTCAGCGATGTAAAGATAGCGAAACTCTATAAGATGGATGTAGAACACGATAAGGACTCAATCGAATTTGGCATTGAGGACGATAGGTATTTAAGCTTTTTCGAAACATTTTAAACATCGACTTTGTCTTAGAACATATGTAAAGTAATGATTTTCATTTATGTTCATTAATATATATATATATATATATATACACAAATTAACATGAAAAACATGAATAAAATAAAAATAAAAAACTAAATGGTAGAGAAACAAGAATGGTATAAGCAAATAGTCGTTGTCAAGACACATCTAATTGCCATAAATAATGCGATATTTCTGAATAAAGAATAATTATCCTAAGANGTATATATATATAAGGAGACAATGGAGAATGAAAAATAAATTTAAAAAAAAAACTAACATGAACAAATCTATTTCGGGTAAATCTGTGGTTAAGGAATTTTTTTTAACTAAAAATTAATCTTCTCCAATATTCAAGAAATATTTTTTAACAAATATTAATAATTTCTCTAAAAAATCATCGAATTTAAATGTTTTATTGGAATTTCGACCTTTTATTTCTTCCCAATTTTGAACTATCCAGTATAATATATTAATACCATACGGAAGTTTAGTATTCGATCCATTCCAATGTAAGCGAGAAATTAAATGTGGTTTAATACTTCAGTAAGAACTTAAAAATATATCAGATTACCATTTATTTACGCTTTAATTTCATATTTTGTAATCTGGCAAATTTGTTAGGAAAATGTGTATAAATCATTTTTGCAAGATGTTTATAAGGAGATGACCGTTGAGCGTTCTCATTTATCGCTTTATGCTCCTATCTCTGTTCTATTTTGCGTTTTTCTTAATTTTGGGGGAAATTTTTGCTTGATGACGTATTTTTTTTAAAAAGGTTTCTTCTCTCTCTCTCTCTCTTTTTTTTTTTTTTTTTTTTTTTTTTTTTTTTTTTTTTTTTTTTTTAGTACTTTTCACATTATTGTATTAATGTATTTTACTTCGGCTAAATTGATTTAAAAAAATTGACCGAAAAATCAATTCGAATATTTTTAACTACTTTTAAGCAATTAGGCTAAATTGATTTATGTAAAAGTTTTAAATCAGGAAAATTTTACACAAAAACTATTGTCAATAAATCTGAAAGATAAAATCTCCCTAATAAATCCATCACGAAATTGTTTCTCATTGTCGTAAATCATATAACGATTTTGATCGCTGTAGAGTAAGTCCCGCAGTGGACTGATCGATAAGACACGGTTCCCAGCAGATCACCGAAGTCAAGCATCACTGGCTACGGTCAGTGTGCGGGTGGGTGACCACTTGGATAAGTCTGCGTAGGGACCGATGCTGTGCGGTATTAGTCCTCGTTAAACTGTGCTACCGTAAAAGTTCTCGACTTCGCGCGCAGGTCGTTGGGCTACCGAAGCGGGGGTGCCATCCCCTCCGCAGAGGATCAAAATTGTGATGGCATGTCTTCGGATCATCCTCTGGGATGTTTCCCAGACCGTCGCCAATAGCCCATTGTGCAGCTCTAGTGCGACGTAAATCAACAACAACAACAACACTGTAGAGTAAAAATCAAGTTTTCCGAAATTTGTGCTTTATTAAATTTATCTCAACCTAAATACCTTTTACTCTATACAAAAATCTTATAATTCAAAATGAAGCTGTTGTAACAAAACGAAAAACTGTTATCGAACTTTCTAATAATGTGAGTGTTACTTTTAAATTTTAGATTGAAAAGTCATGATGGTCCCTTTTTAAGAGACGAAATTGATTTTTGGCAAAGAAGTGATATTGAGCTGACCACCAATGAACAATCGGAACAAAATGAGAAAGGATGCTTTCATTTCTTCTCTCGATTGTTCAGGAGGTTGTTCAAGCGAAAATAAATGACGACTGGTCTGAAAGTAAATAAAGATTTGTTTTAAAGTAAATCACGACTTGCCTTAGTAAATCACGCCTTTTCTGCAAATAAATGAAGACTTTGCTGTAACACCTAAAAAATTATATGACTGCTCCTTTCCAAAGTCTGAAAACTTTTAATCAAGAAAATTTAATATGCAAATATTTAAACTGCTGTAATTCTTTAACATCGGTATATTGATTATCAAATAAATTATAATATTTGCAAGTTCAAAGTGTATTTTATTTACAAATAGAGTAAGACATACATCTAATTTACAATCCCTTATTAGTAAAAAATGATAGTACATCTTTCTTCTCATATCATGGCGACATTTATTTCAACCAATAACTAATTTGAATTTAAAAGCCAATGGACCTAAATTTGGATCCAAACAAAAATAATTATGATATTAATGTAGAATAGCAGAAATATCTTGTACTACAACTCTTAAATCAATTTTGGGAAGAGAAACTGTCCTTGAAGCCTATTACTTCGAAACTTGATCACATATTGATGCAATAACATACTAAACTACAAAATCAAGCTGCATACTTACAGACGGACTAAAGGCTACAAAATGGAACATAATAGGCTGCATCCAATGTAAACCCACTGCATATGTAATTCCCCTTAAACAGTGTGATATGATAACTGCTAATCCCATAACTGTGAGTTCGAAAACAATGGCGGACTACAAAAGCGAGTGCAAATAAAAGTTCTAATCAATCGCGAACTTTTCTTCTACTTTTTATTACAGAATTAAAACCATTTTTAGAAAAATTAATGATTTTAATAAGATATTTTAAATTATCACTTTCAATATTCCACTTTCTAAAAATACTCACATATGACAATTTCTGAATAGGGACACTAATCAAAATTTCTGAAGATTTCGTGTTTGCTCTGCTAACGACCTGTACTTTGCATTTGTGTAAAATTTTAATTTTCAAAATTTTCACAATTATTATTTTAATATACGTAAATGCAAAATTATAGAATACTTAGTTTGGGCACAAGGAGAGCAAATTGCAATGTTAAACTTTTTTGTGTTCTCTTTCTTTACAGAAATATCTAAATTCTGCCTTTATTTTCAACTATAGTTATAATACCAAAATCCACCAACAGATCAATGTACTTATAATTTAAGTCAAACCACAAAACTGTTGACGAATTAGGGAAATATGTTTACACTTGGTGACCTGTCCCCTCTGCCCTTTTGATGTTTGGACATATGGGGGCGGGGGGGCAGGTTGCCTATAATTGCATTTTCCTTGCTTTAATTTTTTTTCGTCTGTGATTCAAAAAGTAGAAGCATTCAAATATTTTTCCTAATTTTGATATTGATACATATATCCTACATGTAAAAGAGAAAAAAAATTTCTCAAAAATTTGCTATAAAATACGAGTCTTATTGTCTCACTTCTTATCTCCTCGGTCTTATTCTCTTTCTTTCGCATTTTTTTCTTTCTTTTTTTTAAGACAATAAATAATTTAACTTTTTATTCCCTTATAAGAAGGGGGTGATAAAATTGTTAAACCTATATTTAGTATGCGAATTCAAGCTATATTTAAACACTTCTTTGTATGCAAGCCATATTATCAAACACTATATTTTTTCGCCCAATCTTTATGCATTTTTACTTCGTCTACTTTAAAAGCCAAAGGAAGGATAAAGTTGTCGATTATGGACTCTAAGACTAATTACATAAACATCCTCAAAACCAAAAATAATAGCAATGTAATTAGTCTTAGAGTCCATAATCGACAACTTTATGCTTCCTTTGGCTTTCAAAGTAGACGAAGTAAAAATGCATAAAGATTGGGTGAAAAAATATGGTTATGTTTGCCTTTTCGTTCATGTTGAGACGTAACTACTAGGGTGGCATGGGGGGGGGCACCGTTATGCTCTACTAGTTTCATCTATTTCAATCCTTGTCAGCTAAATTTAAGTTGGCAATACCGATTTGTTAATTAAAGTTATCTATTCTCAAACAATCAACGGAGACGGAAAATTCTAAACACGTATTTACACCTCTTATTTAATTTTCACAACTCTATGAAATAAACTCATGGTAAATATTTTCATTATTCGACAGTATCTATCAATACATGTAAATTACAAGGCCGTCACCTTAATTGGGGATGTAAAGCGTAATTTAGATAATTATTCTCAAAAGAAAACTTTTTCTGATGAAATTAAACTTCTGCAATCACGAATTTTTGAAAGGAGGTTAAATTTGTCTGTTTTAAATTTTGATATCTATCTTTATTTTTGTGTAATTTACGTAGTAAGAATATTCGAAATTTTTTTAAAAATTTAACAAACGTGCATTTTAAATGACTGATTCAAAATAACAAATAGATGATTTTTTATTGCTATAAAGTTTTAATCGAGGAAATATCTAAACAAGCTCTGAAAATAACCAAACACTATTTTTCATATTCAATAAAGCAACCCCTTAACTTTCACTTTTTCTTCCTTTTATTTTTTAGGGAGATTGTGCCGCCAAATAAGACTGCATCAAAAGTTTGTAAAGAACAAAAAAATATTAATAAAAGGCAAATCAAAAATTAATCCTGAAACTGAAAAAGGCCTCTTTAAACCATAATACTGCCCAGAAATTTAAATTGTAAAACCTACTGCACCTTAAATACAGTCCCTGGGCCATATTATTAGACGCACTATAAGATTCTATGTAAAATTATAATTATCAGGTGATACTCTATACAGCTGTATTATTTTCATTCGAATGAAACCGGTTTGCATTTGTTCACGCTCCTGTATCAATGGGTTAACATTGTAATGCAATACGTTAAAAATAAATACAAATGGGAAGTGCATAAAAAATCTCCTGAATGAAAACCCATTACATGTATGTTTAAATATAAAAGTATTACGTATAAACTCGTGCAAGTCATGTGATTATTAAAATACTATAATGCGTCTAATAATTTGATCTAATCGTCTAATGATTTGATGTATCGTCAAATTTATATTATATATCGTCTAATTTGGCTAATTGATACACTAACGTAAAGAAGTGCAAACCGGTTTCAGTCGCATAAAAACAATAAAGCTGTAAAGTATCAACTAATAATTAAGATTTGACATAGAATCTTATATTGCGTCTTATAATTTTGCCAGGTACTGTAAGTAATTTAGTTTAGGCATTTAAATGTAATTTTCTGTGACATATTTGTGTATCAGAAGTATAGCAATATTTCGTAAGCATTATATCTTTTTTTTCCCCTACCAAATAATGAAATGCGCAAAAGGAATAGCAGGTAATGTTACTTTCTCCTTGTCATTGGTAATCCAAAGGAGAAATACTTCTACAGGCTTCTTGGAAGTTTGACGTAACAAGTAACGTTCGAATAACGCAACGTCGATACCGAACGATATCGACGTATCGAATACCGATAACGCTTATTCACGAACTAATGTAAAAGAAATTAAATTAATAAGAAAATTTTCGCAATTTGAAGGGAAGAAAGGACATTTTGATATGAAAATTATATTAATACGGAATTCGTTTCACAGTTATTTAATATAAAAAGAAAATTCTAATATTGTTTTAGTTATTTATAATTATTTATTCATTTTTTAATTTGCAATTATCGTTATTGTTTTGGGACGTGTTTTTTTGCGTTGGAAGCTTCTATCAGGGTTATTATTTTCTTGAAAAACTTTACTTAATGTCTGAACCCGTTTCTCTTTGTTTAAATTTCGAAGTTTTGGTATAATTTAGATAGCTCATTATTAGTTTTATTTTTCATCCCTTCTAGGTTCTCGGATTTTTCGATGGATATAATATAAACCAGTTGCAGTAAAACTATGCATTTTTGCTTCTACAAATGGTTTAAATTAAAAAGGATCTTGAAAGGATTTTTTTTAAAATTTTAATTACGTTTTTGAATTATTAAAGTTTACGATGGTTGAAATTTAAGTTCCCATACAAAAAATTCAAATTTCTGTGTCCTTAGGTACACAACATTTATTATGTAAGTACACGAGTATGGATCATCAATTTTAGATTTTATTTATTATGTCAAAGATATTATTAGTTTTTATTCTATCATTATTGATTTATTTTTTTATTATAAAGTATAATTTTCTGTCTCGATTTACATCTGAAGATGAGTGATAAGTCTTAATTTGTTTAAATATCAAATAAGTTTTGGTGCAACTAAATTGTGAATATTTTTTTTTACTTATGCATATCAATTAGCAATGCATCCAATGTAATTATTTTGGCATTTTTTTTTGGTCATTTCTCCCACTGTGGTCTTGACATAAATATGTGAAATAGGCTGACTTATATAGAGAAATAGTCTAGAAAGAACTTCTAGCAGCTTCTATAACCCTCAGTTATTTCCTAAATATTTATTTCTTCACAATTACAAATTGAGCCGTGATAACTCAGGAGGTAGAGCGGTCGCCTTCCAATGAGGTGAACCGGGTTCGAATCCCAAGAATTGCTGGTCGATACGAGTTCCACATCCGGCTTGCACCGAACGCAGTGCTGACGTGAAATATCCTCAGTGGTAGACGGATCATATGCTAGAGTCCCTTTGCCATCAGGCTGACCGTGTGAGGTTTTAATGGCTTTTCTCTCCATGTAACCTCAAAGGCAGGTTACTTTAATCTAAAAGTCCTCCACGAAAGCAATTGTCTCCGAATACTTGATCCTGGAGATTCCTTGTCTTCTAGATTGGGTTCAAAATTACAAGGATACGAAGTTGAACATTGGGAGCAGTAAACCCAAGAAATTGGGTCAGCTATTCAACGACAGTTATTTAAAAAAATAACTGTTAATTATATCCGAAAAAATTTTAAAAAAATGTTTGGAGATGTTTTAATAATAATTTTACCTTTTTAAACAAGAGGGATTCTCTCTCTGAATAACCATATCTTGCTGAGAAAGTCATTGTAGTAGCAGTATATAGTTTCAAATAAAAAACAAGAATATAGTTATAAATTAAAAAGACACTCTGGTTTTTATTTTTTTATTGAAAATAGTACTTAGAACAATTTAGGCTCAATAAGGTTCTTTATTGCTGTGATTCAGCAGTCGCTGGCATTTGTCATCCATGTCATTGTGTAGCTCGAATTTTTACGTTTATTGTTACAACTGAGCTAAAAAAGCCTAAATATTAAAAGGATCATACTTTGTGAATTCTATTGTTTTCAGATCGTCATACAGT